TAAACCCTAATTGTTTTCTTTACATTTGTTTCAAACTGGTGTCGCCCTTTTGTGGCTTTATGGGTCATAGTGACTTACAGTAATCACCACCTGAACTCTTCAACAACTTAAATGAATCAAGAAATTGCACTGGTTACTAAAAATGTCACATAAATCTCTGGAATACCATTAGGTAGAAGGATGAAGTAGAGCAGAATGTTAAAGAAAAGGTAATGAACCTGAAAGTTGTGCTTAAGTATAGTATTTGAGTAAATGTTACTTTCCAAGCAGTGGTAAAGAAAATTCCAGTCCAGGCACAGTCCCTTCAACCCCTATGAACAAAAAAAAGTAACAAAATCCACCTACTTTTTTGCACTGCACACAGAGGACAGCTGTGACCCCCTGTGGTCCAAACGACGCACCACACAGCAGACAGTGCATCTCTCCATCACCACACGCTGTCTTCTTGATATTATCCAGACGACTGGAAAGACGCCTGAGAGCACATGCAAATTATTATCAGCACAGGGACACAAACTTGGCACAGGTTTGTCACCAAAAAGTTGTTCATCTCAGTGAGCATCTGTGCATGGTTGGTGATGTGATTCAGTGCAACAGAGACAACGGTTTTCCATCTCACTCAATCCTCTCTTGCTCGATGGCCTCCATCATAGCTGCCCGAGCTAGCACACTGTTGATGATCTCCTTCTCCTCATCTGTGAGCTCCTCCCCTGGGGTGCCGCCAGGCATGTTCATTGTCCACCTAATTCTGCTGAACCCAAAGCGCACACACACAAACACACAGAACAGACACAGAGTACAAGTGACAAGCAAAGTGAAAATAAGACTCAGACAAATGGCCAAAACATCCAAAAAGTGCCTAAGTAAGGAGTGCTAGACACTAACATCAAAGCACAGCTGGAAACATGTTGGACTTGAAATAATACTGAGCAGCTGCAGTTGTTTTCATACACAATAACACAAATGATGTCCAATTTTTATTTTGCATCTTGTGACCAAAACCCACATAAAATAAGCCTTTTAATTAAGAGTGATCTGTGATCTGAAATCCATTAAAGTTTAAATGGTTCACAGATTCAGTGACAAGCCAGTGGGGATCAGTCACTTTTCTTGCAGGTCATACTCTAAGCTTGCTTCACATGACCTGGTCATTTTTTAAACTAAAGCTACGGAGAAAAGGCCAACAGAATATGCTTAATAAATGTAGTTAATTAATTAATCAGTTAGAACATTTTGGGACTGTTTTATCATCACATTTAATCCTACAAGATAGGATTGAATATTTTTTTGTTTTATTCCTTGTTTATTTTTTCAACTGGGCCATGAGCTGCCAAAAAAGATCATTTCCCCCACTGCGGGTAAATAAACTCAGCAGACATACAGGGGCATTTCCAGGATTTCTTGTTAATGTTGTTGCTCAGTGAAGACCAAGAACAAAAAAGGGGGGATGACCAAATAAGATTATGTGACACAGCACCAGTCTTAACAATAACACATTACAAAATAACACATTATACCCATTACTGTCATTACAGTAATGTGTTACAAAGTAACGTTACATCACATTTCTACAGTACTACAGTAATTTTTGTCGTTACTTGTGCTACAAGGGTCCCTCAGTTCTCTGCACCCTAGACTGAGAGCAAAAAAAAAGAACAAAAGATCAAACGTATTTCTTCCTGCACACTATAATCAGCTCTGTACCAGGATCAGGAGATATTATAGAATATCATCTTCACCAATTTGGTCACAGAGTACATAAGTCCACTCAGTGCCAATGTGGAAGCTTCATATCAGTGTCGTCAAATTAAGACTAGCTGCAAACAAGAATCTTGCGGGTTTCTAAACATGTGTCTTTGGCATATGGCTGATAAGAACAATCTTAAAATTTCATTACAGAAAGTAAATATCTGGATTTTTAAACAGCTGTACTGAGACAAAGACAGACCAATAATTTAGTTTGTCACTCACAAGATGACTGTCTAAGAAATTTTACTGGCAAAAAAAGATGCCACTAGTGCAAATGCTGCTGGATGGTTGGAAAACCTCTGCATATTCACTCGGAGAGCAGCAAAAATAATTTGGCCAATGAAAATCAAACTCATCAGTCTGTGAACTAAAGTGTTGGATTTTCCTGGGAAAGTGTCTATGGTGGTAATTTCAGTGACGGTGGGATTTTCTGGCGCAACCCACGCTTGCTCTGAAAAATGCATGTCTCTTAGATTTCTGACAGCAACAGTGTCAGTAATAATATCTTCACAAGATCGAGGCAGCAGCAGTTCTTGAAACCAGGCTGCACAGTTGGCCTCCACAATTACAAGACCATGGGCATAATGGGACATGGCTGGCCATCGGTGGACCGATGGTGATTTTTCGTTTTTATGGGCTGATGTTTTTCTGGGTTTTTTGTAACGGTATAAACAATGAGAGGTGGTGATTGACCAGATGCTGGCCGATGTGTAAAAATAACTCCGTTGTTTGGTGGTGGCTATGGCGGAGCTTCCACAGAGGCCAGCAGGTAGATGAGGGAAAGGGGAGGCAGGAGGAGGAGAGACCCGAGGCGGCCGCAGGTCCGAGTGTCAGGTGAACTGAACTTCAGGTAAGAAGTTATATGACCTGCAGTCTGTCTGGGTCAGATATAAACCAACTTTAGGGGTAGTTTATTTTCGTTGTGCTGACTTTTTACTGTCAGTTACAATAACTCGTACTGCGTGAGCTAGCATGACAGTTTCTATACAGCTGGGTGGGTGCTATGATGTTACCAATAGTGAACTTTATTTTATTCATAAGGTTAGTTAGTAGAGTTGCCAACCGTCCCATAAAAAAACGGAATCGTCCCGTATCCAGAGAAAATATTACGAGTTTTGTATTGAGCTGAAAGGAAACGCCTGTACTATGTCCTGTACTTCAGCCAGAATGGAAAAAGACACAAAGCTGGAGTTATTCTGTCTTTACGCTGCACAGCTGCTTCTCCTTCTCTCATTCTCTCCCCCTCCCTCTCCTGTTGCTACTTCAGTCATGATCAGTGATCAGCTGATCAGCTTTTCTCTCTCATTTATTTATCGCCCACTTTGCACCAGAAAGAGGAAACCAGCGGATGTTGCGCTAAACAACAGCAGCACGTTTAAGCTTGATCAGCTGCTGTTAGAATTTATTTAATATTATTTTCTAGTATCTGCTGATGTTTGCTGGTAAAAGCTGCTGGTCATGATATCGGTTTGGATATGTGGTGAGAGGGAAACATGAAGATGAAACCAGGAGACGTCCTTACTGAATCATCAGAGCTGAACAGGTGATGGAGAAACAGCTTTATCTTTAGGTGACATGAATGAGTTGAAGGGAAGTTATGAACTGTTTCTGAGAGACAAATAACACCAGGATCCTTTGTAGCTGACAGCTGGTAACTATGCAGGGGCGGGTCTAGCAAAGTTTTGCCAGGGGGTCAGGTAGGGCATTAACAGGGAAAGGGGGGCACAAAGAAATACTTTTCTTTCTTGTTCTTATTTAAAATGTCTCGCTTTTAATAAATAATTATCTGAATCTTACAACCAAAGTTTTTATCTGACATAAAATGTATAGAAATCATACATATACCAACAAGACAGTGTATCACTGTCACAACAGCGTTTGCTTTCATTCAAAGGCCCTATGGCTTTAATACCTGGTCTCTTGTCAAAATGCCCGGGCCGATTTTTTGTCCCAGTCCAGCCCTGGCTGGTTCTCACCTGAGTTAACATCTAATTGGATCTGATAAACAACCGTGGAAAAAAGAAAGAAAAACCTCAACATGTGGTCAGCAGGTCCCTCCATAATGATCATGTTTACGTCACTTAATGTATTATTCTAATTGCCTGTGGGCATTTTCTTTCCAACAAAATGAATGTTTGTAGTTTCAGTGGATTTAACAAGGATTCATTATTCATTCAATCACCACAACACTTCCTTACTTATAATTCTGCTCTGTCCAAGCTGTAAAGAAAGCTTTTCACCAATTTATAAAGATATTTAACTTTTGCAAGGTTTGATCAAGGTTATAGATGCTGCATGTATAATTGTCAAACACATCCCTTTGGGCTACATGGAACTCAAATGGCTGCTTTGCTAAACCTGGGATAATTATAAGATCAATTATAATCTACTTGCATCCTGCAGATTGTTCTTGTATGCATATTATAGAGTGAGGCAAACCTCAGCAATATGACCTTTTTTTCTTCTCTTTTTGTTAGACTTCTCTATTAACCACGGATGTGAATATGTGCCCTCTTGTCTTGAATGTCTCTTCATTGTTGTATGTTTGCTCTTTTACTTTACTAAAATTAAGGTAGCAACACTGCATTCAGCAAATTAGTTTTTTATCAGGTAAAAAACATTATCCAATATATGGCAGTCATTTGTTACTGAAAGAAGTTAAATCCTGTCTGAATTTTACACCAAACGCCTTTCCTGATCCAACCTCGGTTGTGTCTCTGGTTGAAATTAATCAAGTGGCCATTCACTTGCCAAGCAAATATGTAAAACACTACACTATGTCCAACAGATGCAAAGGAGCTCAAGACTCAACAGCCAACTCAAACAGTGTTACCATTAAGTTAATACGGTTGTGCCACATTCATAAACATTCACAACTCTGTATTTGGGGATGTACACATGGATCATGTGGAAAACTATGATGATGCAAATATTTAATAAATTCATGCAGCTTAAAGCAACAATATACAACTACACCGCCTGTTAACATCTTCTCTAATTCACTTGAGATTTTACTGATTTTGATTAATATCATCTTAAGGAGAATTTATTGTTTTAATGAAAAACTGCTTGTTTTTCAACATGCATATTACATCTTATATTTTATTCATGTTTTTCCTGCTGAAAGTGCACTTTAAAAGTGATTCACAGAATAACTAAATGGCAAGAATGAATAGAACAAGCTGACATCAATTCATATGAAGAAATTCAGAGTAATATATGTGACTGAGTGATATTTCCATTGAAAGCAGCTCACATTATTCTGCTTGTAAAGACATGACTGCAGGGTTTTCGCTGTCCATTCAACTTTCAGTGTGCCACGGTTGAAAAGGTACGCCTTTAAAAAGGTCTGAGAGGAGTTAATTTGGTTACCCATGATTTATGTGAGCTCGACCACACCTACTGCTATATTAGTGCTTCTGGCCATTAAAACCTGACTGTCTGCTGGTCCACAGGCACATAAATTCTGTACTTGTGCTTGAAAAAATGAGGCATTAATTGAAGCTGACTGCTGACTGTAGTAAGTGAACTGTTAGCAGTAATGTGTTGTTCAAGTCTGGACTGCAATGTGCATGCCTGAAGTCATTTTCACTGTAGAGTAGCACACTCATTATCTTTTGACAAGAACATTGTTAAGAGAAAAGAATGACCTCAACCTCTTGCTTCTGGACCAACCAGTCATTTTCCTGATCCTGCAGACTGCATCTCAATTCCAAGTAAGTACAGAAGGAAAATAGTTTTGCTCCACAGTTAGCACATTTTATTGTCCAAATTCCAACTATATCTGCTACCTGCCTCATTAATGTCCAAGCATCAGACATTAAATCGGGCAGTGGCTGCTGAGTAATGCCTCACTTACTTCACAGCTGACTGCTTTTCTTCTTTCTCATCCCTTTCCTCTTCAAAAGAATATCCTGTCCCCAATGCATGTAAATGTCAGAGGTTGCTGTCATTGCAGACAATGTGGCAACCTGACAGATTGATATCTGCGACTTGGTG